GAGCCGGTGAGATTTGAACAGCTGAACTACAGAACTGCAGTCAGCTGAAGTAGCCTGCAGTGCTGCATTTAACCACTGCGCCACCTCGGCTCCTGTGTGCTTAGAGCTCAAAGCACTGTTACAGACCCCACAAACCGACTTTACAGTCCGTTTCTGTTACTCCCCTCTGAGAGGAGGTTTCAAAATATTTCGAGCAGGACTACCAGATTCTGCAGCAGCTTTGTTTCCTACGCCATCCGCCTAGTAAACTCACAAGAGTTGTTTTCCTCGCCATGTACATGCTTACATCCAGACTAGACAGTGTTGTTTCTCTATGTCATATGTGTGGTTATATGCTTATTTATTTATTTATTTTGTCATGTTTAGATAGTGTATACTGGAGGTGGTGACCCTTTGAGAGCTGTATGCAACAAAATTTCATTTTAATGTATTCTGATTAGTGTACATTCAAAGTGACAGTAAAGTTATTCTAAGTCTAAGTCTAACTGAGCACTGGAAGACTTTCCTCCAAAGCAGATGGGCAACTCAGAAACTCACACCTATCACAATGGCAGGATTCCCCAGTCACAAGCACAAGCTGCATTGTGGCTAAGTACAATGTACAAACCCAACCCATATAGGCAAGTAGATGAGGAACCACCTTGCTTTTATTCTCTTTCCAAGCAAGTGAGATTCACGGATACCTGGCATATTTTTTGAACAGGCGGGACCCATGCAAGAGGCACTGAAACTGACGTGCAAGAAAGATCTATTCCAGCTTGTTGCAAATCAGCTTTCTTACAAGAAGACAACAAACTGGTAAATGGAAAACTAGGAGGCCAAATGGATGTTCTCCCATTTTTTTTGTACTGCATCTCCCAAGGAGAGCAATTTTGCCCCACTGTAGCGTAACGGAATAGCAACTTCCATGCAAAAAAGCAATCTCTATGATGGAGCTCTTCCGGTGAGATTTGGGGACTACAACCCTTTTCCTAGGAGTCACATGATTTTATTTGTAGAGCCTTTGAGAATTTCAGCTACTAGATTCCATATTTTGCCTGTTGCAGAACTTTGGTCAGTAGATGTTTATCAGAGCCCCAATCAAATCATGGAAAAGTTATCTAGCCACCTGGTTTTGATAGGCGTGGGGTGCCAGTCTCTTATAAAGTGGTGCAACCTCCGTAGCTAAGTCCTGGAAACTTCTTCTAAGAACTTCTTCCTGGAATGAGAGAAGGTCAAGATTAGCTCCTTAGTGTCTCTAGTGAGCCTGGTGCTGTCAGTAGCAACTCCTAGAAATACTTTCTCTACCCCAAGTTCCTTTGGAAATAAGTCTGCTGCAGGAACTGAACTTGAACAGATTTTCCTCAGAGCAACTGCCTTCCTTTCTTCAGGGGGAGCAAATGAACATGAGCTCAATCGCATCTTCCTAACCCAAGTTTTTGAGATACATGTTCCACGGCTATGAGCTATGCATAGAACTGTTTCTACACCCAGGAGAATTTGGCAGTCAAAAGAACTGAATGAGATTAAGGTTCACAGACTCCTCTCTTTTCCTTCTCTGAAGGCCCCTTTCTCAGCCAGTTTGACCTAGTGGTTAGGGCAGCAGGCTAGAAAGCAAGAGAAAGTGAGCAATAGGCCCATTTTAGGCATCAAAACCAGCTGGGTGATTTTAGGCCAGTCACTCTCACAGTGTTGTTGTGGAAAAAATAAGAGGAGAGTTCATTACCTTGAGCCATTTGTAAAAATAATGAAATACAAAATCTTTTTAAAAAGGCAGGCAGTCAATCCCTCATTATTTCCTTTTATATAAAATGCCCCAACTTCTTCCCAAAGGTACTTTTATTGATAGGAAAATGTGGTTTTCAAGGCAGTTCACTCTAGGAGAATCCTCTCCCCAAACGCTGCCACAGGTTGGATCAATTGAGAATGCAGACTTTAAAAAATACATTCCGCAGCCTCAACTAGAATTAAATAACGTGGTTTCTTTTTGTCTGAAAATGTAAGTTTCTTCCACGACTAAGACTGAAACCTACATCGGGGAAAATCCAATGTAAGTGGTTCTTCCTTCCAAGTAAATATATTTGGACTAATCAATAAATGTATGGTTATTTGTATGATTCTTGGGAAAGCAAGAAACCAGTCTATGGTATTTCAGGCTGTCTACATGGGGGGAAAGCCCCTCCTCAAAACCACTGCCCTTCACTGTTACTCTTCCATCTGTTAAATTGGGAGATAAGTCCAATAAATCCCTCTAAAAGAAGAAGGACCAGAACACTCACCTCCTTGGGATTGTCTCCCTGTAATCTGAATTTCCTGGGAGTTTTGCTCCGCGCATATTTGCACCCGTTGAAATACATGCTCCAAGAGCAGCCAAAGGAGAAGGAAGCACCACAGGTGTTGGGATCCTTGCCTTGACATGCACAGGTTCGGCTGCAACAAATCCAAAGGGAGTCAAGTCTGTAGAAAGGAGTCCTAGGCTGCCCATTCCAGGGACAGAAGAGCAAAGAACCAAGAGCACAGCATCCTCGGCCGCTTTCTAAGCAAATGGCAGCTGGCTACCTTGCAATTGACACAATATAGGTAGGGCTTATACTAAACCTCTGGATGCTATTGGTCATGATACCCTTATGGACCGGCTTCAGGGTCAGGAATGAGTGGCCCCTTGTCACACTCGTTTTCTTCCTCCAGAGAGGGCTGTTATTGATGAGGGGAGACACCTTGCCATGAAGTCCATGAAGACTCTAAGTCATCCAGGTAATTTGTCTGGAAGCTGAGTCATGGCACCTGGACTTTTTTTCATTGGAAACGTTTCGCTGCTTATCCAAAAAAGCTTCTTCCGTTTGAGCAAGCTAGTTAGGGGGACCCCATGCGTGTCTAGCCACAATTAGGGTAGTTAATTGAGGACTACCTTTTATGTTGTTCAGATAAGGTTGCACTGCCCCAACAGAAACCTTGCACAATTTGAAAGATGCCCTTGATTTCTTCCCTGTTCAAGGAATAGCTGGCAACTTTGACCAGGAGAGCCTTTGCACCAACTCACATCCGTTCTGAGACTCTGTAGTCTGTTTGTAGTCACGCATGCTTAGTTACAGAAAAAAAATCCAGAAAATAAGAAGAAAAAAAGGGCAGATGGAGCTGACCCCATTTCAGGAAGGGAAAGGTTTCATAAGGTGGGCGACACAGCCAGAAGGCCTAAGTGTAGTTCCAAGAGGGATCCACAATGTGCCTCTCTTGGGGGCTCTTATGGGGCCAACAGATGTAATTGGGGAGAGGAGTCCCTCAAATAACCTAGTTACACTATGAAGGACCTTAAAGGTCAAAACCAGTACTTGACTTGGAGCTGGAGGTAGGCTGGCAGCCAATGCAACTCACTGAGCAGAGGCATAACATGGCATTTCAGAGGCATGCTGCCTATGCCGTTGCATATGGTAACAGTTAAAGCTTGCAGATACTCTTCCAAGATAGCTCCATGGAGAGTACAGTAAAGTAGTGCAATTAAAGGTGACCAGGACACAAGTAACTGAGTAGAGCCCCCCAATGCAGGAATGGTGACACTGTCACATAACAGTAAGATGTGCAAAAAGGCCTGCCTTGGCATCAGTGCCATCTGCTCTTTGAGCAGGAATCACGAGTCCAAGAGGGCCCTCCAATTGTGCACCAAGTCTATCTGCAGTCATATAACCCTACCCAGCACCACAGATGGCATGGTTCCAGAAGCAGCAGGCCCCAAGTCCCAAAAACACGGTCTTGCTGAAGATGTTGTTCAGCTAAAGCCTGTTCTCCCCCCAGACCTTCACAGCCTCCCCATATGGGGATAAGACACCCATAGCATTGCTTAATTCACCAGAGGCATAGATATAGAATTGGGTATCATCAGCATATGGTGATGCCTCACCCTGTGGTGAAGGATGATCGTACTTAAATGCCTCATATTGAGTAGGAACACCAAATCCTGGGACACCCCACATGGTAGGGACTGGGGGCGGGATTTCTCCTTCCCAATCACCACCAACTGTAGCCAAGCCTGCATAAGGGAGGCAAAACAGCACAACAGAACCCTACCCCTACCTCAAATCCCCCCAAGTTGATCCAGAAGGACAACATGGTTGCTGGTGTCAAAGGCTACAAAGCGGGCAAGGATGACTGCACAGCTCTCATCCCATTCTTGCCAGAAATAGTTTCAAAACCTGTCCACTATAGTGGGATTCAATGATGGCTTCTTGAGGAGGGGGCAAATTTAGTCCTCTTTAAAAGGTAAAGGAACAACCCCTCATTCAAGGATCAGTTCATCACTTCTGGAATACTATCATATGACATATCTTGGATTGCTGCTTTAATGAGCCAGGAGAGGCATGTATATCAAGAGCAGGTGGCTGAGCCCACAGCCCTAAAAATGCTGTCCACTTTCTCAGGCCTAACCGGTTGAAACTGATTCCTGATAACAGGCAAGATTCCTCCCCAGGCATCTCCTACAACAAAGCTCAAGTCCAATTCCAAATGATTTGGAGCAACTTTGTCCAATAGATGCTGAACAAATTCTTCCACGCGTCCCTGCACGCTCTCTGGGTCCCTCCACTAAAGAGGTCACATGTCACCCTCAACAAGTCTGGGCTGGGGCAGCAATATGGAGATCCAAGAAGGGGTTGGGAAATTCGCCACCCTTATTGTCCAAGGTAGGCCTTAATAGTAGCTCTAACCCAAGTCTTCCATGGAGCACCAGCGATGCTCTAAACACTTCTTATCTGTTTATTTCATAAACTGAATTAAGCGATGAAAATTTATTAGAGAGGTTATATTCATGGATAGCTTTAGTTTAATTAAGGATGAATTACACAATGCTAGTTGTCTTTTCAGTCACTGATATTGTAGTTTAATAAGAATGTTTTACTGTCTTAAAAAAAATTAAATTATAGCAGTGGAACTTGTCTAACACATATTGAGGAGGTTCTATGTAATTGTGGTGGAACAACTGGCTAAAGGAGAGGGGTAAGTAAGCAGGCATTCCAGCTTGGCCTCCCTTGGTGGGAAGAAATGGCACAGATCAGACCAGGGAAGCCTTTATCTTCTGGCTCCCAAGCAAAGCCCTCTCTGGTGAGACTCTTGTAGCAGATGGGATCAGCTCTATGATTCAGCCCATTCCTAGAATTGTCCAGGTTCCTTGTGCCCCACAGGAATCTTATCTGTCAGAGCTCAGCTGAGGGCTGGACTGCATAACCTGTTCGCCCTGCGCACAACGCCATCCTCCCTTTGTCCCCCTCAGTCTACTTTCCTGCTCCAGCTCAGCAGTGGTGCCTTCCAGGCTGGCTGGCTCAGGGGGAATGGATTGGATTCCCTACTATCCTTCACTTCATTGTAAGTCAAGCCCTTCATCTCAGTTGGTTTCTGGGTACTATAACAGAAACACCTCCTATCTTCCTAAGCCAAGCACCGGACTGCTGGATGGCTGAAGCTTTTCTTTTTAAAAAGGGGTTATCTTAGCTTTTCTAGCCAGCATCCAGTGAGGAGTCAAACAGCTTAAGGTCGCAGTGCAAAAACGTTCTTAGTTAAGGTTGGAGTTGAAAAGAACGTTGGTCTTACCTGAACATGTCCTTTAAGGGGAAGAGAGGGAGTGGTCACGTATGGGTATTCTCAAAGCCTGATTGGTCCAAAGACTGAGAGCAAACTCTTAAATACTGGTGCCTTCCAATCCTAGCCCAGTTTCCTCGAAGGCGAATGGTAGAACTGAAACAACAACAAAAACAACAACACCCCCCCCCGGGAAACACCCGAACCCTCCCCTTGGCCCCAAAAGAAAACCCTCAGGGCGGGTCGTGACCACTCCCTCTCTTCCCCTTAAAAGACAAGTTCAGGTAAGACCAACATTTTTTCCCAGTGGAAGAGAGGGAGTGGTCACGTGTGGGACATACCCAAGCTTTAGTCCCAGGGAGGGAGAACAATAGACCCCTAAGGCCCAAGGGGAGCATCGGCCGCCACCCTCTGCAAAACCCTCCGACCAAAGGATGGTCCGCCGAAGCAAAGGCATCCAGGCAATAATGTCGGATGAAGGGCGTTGGAGAAGCCCAAGTGGCTGCCCAACAAATGTCTTCAAAGGGGGCTCAAACAATCTTAGATGAACAGACCGGATAGGTTCGAATGGGGTCTCCGTCAAGGCCCTGAGAACTAGGGGAAGATCCCACGTGGGGAATCTATGGACGGGGGGAGGCCTGAGATTAGCCACCCTCTTCGGAAAACGCTTGATCAGGGGAGCATGAGAGAGGGAAGAAGACCCCCCCACAAGACCGAAGACAAAGCCACCACCTGGCGGCGCAAAGTGTTCTGTGACAGCCCGTCGTCCAGACCCTTCTGTAGGAAGTCCAAGATGTTGGGAATCGTGGCCCTGTCGGGGGAAATGCCAAGAGGGGAATACCACCGGACAAAGGCCGCCCAGATGGAATTGTAGATGTGGGTTGTCGACGGACGCCTAGATGCCTCGATGGTACGAATGACCCTGGAGGACAGGTTAACCCCCCTCAGTATCCGCTGTTCAAGAGCCAGGCGGTCAGATGGAGCCACTGGGGCTCCGGGTGAAGCAGGACCCCCTGCTGCAAGACCACCTCCTCCTGCGGAATCCTCCACAGAGGGGCCACCGACAACTGGACTAGGTCCGCGAACCAGGGCCTCCCGGGCCAATAAGGGGCCACAACTATGACTAGTGCCTTCTCCGCTACCACCTTCTGGATGTAACCGCGGGCCGCCTTCAGCTCCAACCAATTTATGTTGTGGTGGAGATCCGAGACCGTCTACCTGCCCTGGGCCAACCGGGAACCCACCATGGCCCCCCAACCGAACAGACTTGTGTCCGTGGTGACGGTCACCCTGTCCAGCTCCCAGAAGCAGCAGCCTCGCTGAATGGCCGGGGAGAGCCACCACCCCAGAGAAGACCTGACCCCCGCTGGGATGCGGAGAGTCCGAAGGGAATTGCTCAGTCGCCCCCTCTGGAACGGGATGAGCTCCCACTGGAGGGGCCAGAGGCCAGAGGTGGAGTCTGGCCCAAGGGACTATCCCTATACAAGAGACCATCTTGCCTAACAACTGCGATAACCTGAGAACCAAAACTAACCGACTTCCACAAACACTTTCTGTCAGCTGTCTCAGACTCCTCTGACGCTCCTGGGACAGACGGACCACCCCCAACATGGAATCTATGTCCGTCCCCAGATGAAGAATGCGGGTGGAAGGGGAGAGATGGCTCTTGGGGAAGTTTACAGAAAACCGCAGATTTTGAAGACTCCGGATGGTGAGCCGAAGGTCTGAGACAGCCTGAGAAAGAGACCCCGCCTGAACTAGGACATCGTCTAAATAACATTGGAATCGCACCGGGATGGAATGCAGTTGAGCCGCCAGAGCCGCTAGAACCTTCGTGAGCGCTCGGGGGGCCGAAGCCAGCCTGAAGGGAAGAGCTCTGTACTGGTAGTGGCTGGCTCCGTGCGAGAATCTCAGAAATCTGGGATGACTGGGCAGAATCGGTATGTGAAGGTAGGCCTTGGTGAGGTCTACCAAAGCCAAGAAATCCCCCTTTCGGATACCCTGAAGGATAGATTTGAGGGAGGACATCTTAAAGCACCTGTACACCAGAAAACGATTCAGGCGCTTGAGGTCCAGAATTGCCCTCCAGCCCCCTGAGCTCTTCGGAACCACAAACAGATTGGAGTAGTAGCCCAGGCCCCGTTCCTCCAGGGGAACTGCCTCCACCGCCTGAACGTCGAGAAGGTGGGCAATAGCCTGATCCATCAGGCGGCGGCACTCCAGACTCCGGGACGGAGGGAACGACCTGGAGAGATTCGGGGGGGTGGAGAGAAATTCTAACCTGAGACCGTGCCATATCGTGGACCGGACCCATGCGTCCGACGTGATCTCGTCCCATTGATCCGCATAGAGGGAAAGGCGGCTGCCGATGGGACGACTCGGGTTCGAGTCACTTCCCTCTGCAGTAGAGACGGCCGCCTCTGCCACAAAAGGGCCACTGGGACTGGTGCTGGAACTGGTTTCTGTCCTGAAAGGACCACCTGGGAAACTGCCTGTCAGAGCGGAAAGAAGAAAAACGTTGGTTATGGTCATAGTCCCTGTAAGACTGCCTATGGTAAGGGTGAGACCTAGCCTCGGGCTTCTTAGCATTAGATGACAGAACCTTCTTTTTGTCTTTATTCTCTACCAGAATGGGGTCGAGGGCCTCCCCAAAAGGATTAGGACCCTTGAACGGAGCAGCCACCAGATTCCACTTGGCCTTGTTATCCATCTGCCAGTGATGCAGCCACAAGAGCCGGTGAGAGGTAACTGAAGTGGCCAAGGAATTGGACGCAAACTTAACCATGTCCAGAGTCGCATCAGTGGAAAACTGGGAAGCCGCCATGATCTTGATTAGATCCTGGTGGAGCCGCTCATCCTGGATAGGAATGCGCTCCTGGAGCTGCTTAAGCCACATAACCGTGGCACGGTTGAAATAAGAAGCTGAGGCTGCGGACTTAATAGCCCATGCAATGGCATTGAAATTTTTTCTCAAGGTAAGCTTAGTGTGTTTACCTTCCGGCTTTAACTTATCTGCAGCATCCCCTGACACCACCGAATAGGAAGAAACCAGGGCAGCCACCGGAGTGTCAGTGAGGGGCAACTGAACGGCCTGGGCAAAGGTCTGCTCCACATTATAGAAGCGGTGGTCATTACTCCCAGGGTTCGAGAAATTAGAGAGCCGGGCCCACTGGTTGGTCAGGACCTCCATGAACAAGGGAGGGACCGGAATCTCCTCCTTGTTCGTGGCCATGTTGGAAAACATAGCCATGTCAGGATCCCTAGACGGGGGAACAGAAGGATCCCCAGTCCCCACCTTAGTGGTGTCCCTCACCTTGTTCAGGAGTATCTTGAACAAGACCGGGGAAAAGAGACCTGAGGAAGAAGGAGCATCCTCGGCCTCAGAGAAACCCATGTCCTGGAAATTCTCCTCCCCCATGACCAAAGCCTCGTTAACCATGGAAGGAGAGGAAGCCCAATACTGGGCACAGCTAAAGCCCCCATGCCTAGAAGAGTGAGAGCTTCTGTCTCGCTGGCCGATGCCCCGCGAAGTGGCTGCAGAAATAAGCCTTTTAATGCCTTCCGGAAGATGCTCCAAATCCTCCACATCTCCATAGGAGGAACTAGGCCTCTGGAGAGCCAACCTGCATGAGGGGCAAGGACCCCTGGATGTACCCTCCAAAGGATCAGCAGGGTCTCTACTAGGAAACCTGGAGACACTGAAGGAGAGGGAGACCTCCCCCGCCGGGAAATAAAGTGGACCCTATCAGGAGAGGCCGAGGGAGAAGAGGGGCTGAAACTTCTGGGAGAAGAATGCCCAGAAAAAGGCCTGATTGGTGACCTGGACCTGTCTCTGGAAGTAGGCCTCAAGGCCTTTGCCTGTCTTTCTGCCTTTGCAAAGGTCTTTTCAATGGCCTTGTGCCTCCTGGCCTCCTCTCTAGTGGAGCCCTGGATGGGTGCTGGGCCTCGTAAGATCTTGGAGGGGGAACCCCCTCAGACCCCTGCGCCAGGTCCCCCACACCCCCCATTGGGCCCGCCACCTGACCCTGGGGGAGATCCGATCCCTCCTCCATGCCCCACTCACGTGCCAGTGGAGGAGGAGGAACACAGGCCTCTGCAAGCCCCGCCGGGACCTGGGCCAGTTGATCTCATGGGTTACTAGGCCAAACACCCCTGGCTAGGCCTCACGACCATCCAAAATGGCCACTGGAGCTCCGTGCGTAGGCGAGGAGCCAAGGGAACCCGAGCGGCTCAGCCAGGCTTCCAGGATCCGGCACCGCTCCAACGGTCGGGAGGAGCCACATGGCACCCAGGCATGCTGTCCTCACCCCCAAGAGGCCCCTCCCAATCCAAATAAGAAGCCAGGCAAAGCGGCAGCCACCCGGATCAATCGGCGGCTCCGCGGGTGGCTCATGCGCTCCACATGGCGCCGAAGCTGCTTCCTCCACTGTTCTTGTTAAAAGAAAGCAGCCGCTCCTGCAGCTGAGTCTGGAGCTGGCACCACCGCAATCCTGGGGATAGGGCTGAGGCTCCGGGCCCGCAAGGGGGAGTCTGAATGCCCCACAGGGCCCTCCCCAACCGCCCGAGGCAGAGAACTGTCCCTTGGGGCCGCAGCTGCTAATTTAGAATTTAACAAATTTAAAATGTCCAATTAAACCAAATAGAAAACCAGATTGCAACCAAATTAATCCTACCTACAACCAATTCTCAACAGTGCTTGGACCAAGGAGACTGAAACTGGGCTAGGATTGGAAGGCACCAGTATTTAAGAGTTTGCTCTCAGTCTTTGGAC